ATTTAAACTTATATTGTTTTCTACGAAATAATATTTTATCTCGATACATGGCACAAATATTATTTCGCTTTTTTTATCATGTATAGGGATGGAAGAAGGTGTTCCCGGAGGAGTAACAGAATTAAGTTCTAAGCAACGTCACCAAATGAAACACAGAGAGCTGTTTTTATCGCGACAAGTGGAGACTATGCCAGCTACGCACATCAGAGGCAAATGCTGCGTTACGTTATTAAATGAAACTGAATCCTTGACAAGCTATCTAAACAAGGAGGATTCATTTTTTTATTGTTTAGTATTTGACCCTGCTCAGCGTACTTTGCTTGCTGATAAAGGTAAGAGTATATTTTTTTTACATACAATACATACGAAATTGAAATTAATCAATTATATCTGTTACGTTGTAGGCGAAATTAGAGTAGGTAATAGATATCAAGCAACAGAAATACCGGCGGTATTGACAATGTCAGAAAGAGAAGCGGATACTCGCAGATTACAAGACTTGGAGACTTTGGTTTGGACTCCGAAACACAATTTGACAGATCGTCAGATTGATCAATTCCTCGTCGTTAGCAGATCAGTAGGCACCTTCGCGAGAGCCTTAGACTGTTCGTCCTCCATTAAGCAACCCTCCTTGCACATGTCCGCAGCTGCTGCATCTAGAGACATTACTCTGGTGAGGAAACTTTGGTGCACTGTAGGCAGATAAATATAAATAATTAAATTGACATTCTTAGAGAGAGTATTGTCATTTCATTAAATTTTAATTGCATTACAGTTTCACGCGATGGACACATTGCACCTGCATGCCTATGACTTATCGAATGCCTTAGCGTCTCTAGTACCTAGTACGGGTCCTGTATTGTGTCGAGATGAAATGGAGGAATGGAGCGCGTCCGAGGCGAATCTGTTCGAAGAAGCGCTCGAGAAATATGGGAAGGACTTTGCGGATATACGATCGGACTTTGTAAGTATGCTTTAAATAAGGGCAAGAGTATATAAAGTAAAGTATCGGCTGAATGTTGTGTCGTTTATAAAAATCCTTGGTAATGCCGCGTACATGAATGTCAAAATTCTTCTTTACAATGAACAACTCAATAGTTAGTCAATAGTTTGTGTATGTCATGTGCTCTAAGAACACCGTTCTATTTATCTAACAGATTTATAAACATTTTTTATGTCTTCCAGTTACCATGGAAAACATTGAAGAATGTAATTGAGTATTATTACATGTGGAAAACGACAGATCGGTACGTTCAGCAGAAGAGAGTGAAAGCTGTAGAAGCGGAGAGTAAGCTGAAGCAAGTTTACATACCGAATTATAACAAAACCCCTACGTCGACAACTACTCCTTCCACCGCCACAATTGTACCTCTGGGTAATAGTAATAGCAATAGTAACGGAAAGCCAACCAGCGTTTTGAACGGTAATAGTAACGGCAGCATGGTGGGTGATAATTCCGGAATACTTATGGTTGGAGTGGGTGGGAAACCTTGCGAGGGTTGTCAGGTTGTTCAGAGTTCACAGTGGTATTCCTGGGGACCGACGCATATGCAATACCGTCTCTGTCAATCTTGTTGGACATATTGGAAGAAGTATGGAGGGCTCAAGGTATGTATAGGTTCAAAATCTAATAAACGACACAAGATTACTACGGTACTGACAAACATCTCATGCCGTTTTTTTTTCTTTTTGCCACAAACAGGTGCCGTCGCGCATAGACGACGTCGATCTCGATAGGAAACGCGCCGGCGCCGGTTCGGACGAAGAGAGCAAGGGGATGGGCGGCGCGCACAGGCCGCATCGATGCAGCATTCCCTCCTGTGGCAAGGAGTTCAAACTGAAGGCTCACTTGAGCCGTCACTACGCGAGCGCGCATGGAGTGGATCTGCGCGGCACCGCCGGAAGCGGCGGCGGCGGCGGCGGATCGCCGCGGCCGG